AGTTTGTAGTTCATATTTTAAAATAGAATTTTTTTGTGCTTCTTTATGAATTGCATCTATTGTATATAATTTTTGAAAAATACTTTCTGATTCAGTAGACATTTGTTCTTGTTGAAGTGCAACTCTCTGAAAACCAAGATTAAGAATAAATATTATTCGTTCAGCAAGATTTGCCCAGCTATGAAAAGGTGCTGTACGTACTACAATGACTAAATCAAAATCTCCATTTAAAAAAGTGCAATAAGTGAAACTTGAACAGAACCAAAATTATATCGGTGATCAGGACCTTCACTGTATAAACTATAACTATTTCTGGTAATGAATTAGCACTTAAATAATTTTGTTCAATTGAGTCATAGAATTCAGTAGCATGTCTAAGAGCTGAGCTAGCTTGAAATGTAGTATCTTTTAATGAGATATATACTTGCCCAGTATAAAATGACTAAATTGGGTCATCTGGAATTTTAGAAAATAAAGATACAAAAGGAGTAATTGAAAGTTTTGTAAAATTATAATCTGCTGCTGAAAGATCTCTTTGCATTGAAGTTGCCATTTTTTTATTCGAACTCCAGTACAGTTGGTACTAATTCTCCAATCAGTACTTTATGTTTATCATCTGCAAAAATAAGACAAGTATATTTTTTATATTTTGATGCAAAATGCCAAATATACTTAAAAATTGCTTGACAGTGATGAGTATTTATATGAGTTTTTCTTAATTGCTGTGTTTGAACCATATATTTAATCTGAAAACATCCTGTATATTGTGTACTTGCTTTGTACCAAGGATTTTTGGATAAAATTAATATGAAATCTATCGATCAGATGGTATTAAATGATTATCAAAAAGAGGATATTTATTGTATTTATTTTCTAAGTATTCAATAATTGATTCTCTTAAATCACGAACAGAAATAAAACTTGGTAAGTAAAGCATATTATTATGCCATCTCTTATGTACAGATAGAAAATTTTCCTCAAAATAATATTTCATTTTATTCCCAAATTCATCAAATTTAGTTCCTTTAAATCCATTATTTATATACATATCTATAATGATTTCTGGATCTCCAAGTTCAAGTATTATTTTTACTTGTTGATTTATTTCAACAGAGCATGAATTATCTATTGCACTTGAATCACCAACTAGATCATAATAAAGATAACGTAATATGCTTGGAGTAACTTTTGTTATTAATGAATATTTTGCAAAAATATTTCTTCTCATATAACGTGTAAAGAATTGAGGTAATATTAATTGTGTATGAATTATTGCTTGTGCATTTTTTGTTTCATCTCGCAATTCAAGACTTTCAGAAATTTTCCAAGCAAAGTTTAATGTTCCCAAGTAATTTTCATGATGATACTGATATAATATTATTGTTGAATCAATAGCAAGATTTGCTAAATAATAAAATCGCTTTTCTTTAATTTCAGGTAAAAATTCTTCAAGTGATATAATTTTATATTCATTTGCTATTCTAATTCGTTCAGCAATTGGAAAATAAATTTCTTGCATAGTATTTACTGAATATTAAGATCACATTTCAAGTACATTAACTTTTTCTGGACTTCGTGCTAGAACTGATGCTAATTGAATTCTTTAAACTTGCAAATTAACTGTTTCTAAATAATTGGCATAAGTACAAGCTACTGAACATAGTTCTAATGTTGCAGTTACAATTTCATTCCAACTAGGTTTGCTTGCCCATAGTTGTAAAACACATTCTTCTAATTTATTAGCATGAAGTTCTAATTCTTTATGTCTTAATGTAGTTTTATGATGTGTTCTATTTTTGTAATATAAAGCTTGTTAATATAATAGCAATTGAAGAAATATTAATAGTATTTTAAGGCTACGCAATTTAAGAGTTTTGTGCTTATCATCCAAGTAATAAAGAAGCGATACAAGCTTATTAATAAATGCTATACCAAGTATATTTT